TCAACATAAATACAACATAACACTGACATCAACATAAATACAACATAACACTGACATCAACATAAATCAAACACTTACCTAAACCATAATACAACATAACACTTACCTCAACATAAATACAACACTTACCTCAACCATAATACAACATAACACTTACCTCAACATAAATACAATATAACACTGACATCAACATAAATACAACATAACACTGACATCAACATAACACTGACATCAACATAAATACAATATAACACTGACATCAACATAAATACAACATAACACTGACATCAACATAACACTGACATCAACATAAATACAATATAACACTGACATCAACATAAATACAACATAACACTGACATCAACATAAATACATAACACTGACATCAACATAAATACAACATAACACTGACATCAACATAACACTGACATCAACATAAATACAATATAACACTGACATCAACATAAATACAACATAACACTGACCTCAACATAAATACAATATAACACTGACATCAACATAAATACAACATAACACTGACATCAACATAACACTGACCTCAACATAAACTGCCACAGCTTCATTACCTGCAAATAAAATATTTATTATCATCATATACAGAGTAGCTTTGATGTTTATTCTCATTAATAAATCAGACAGATCATTTCACCTCAATGTTAAGTGATTATGTTTATCCTCAATGTTTAAAGTCACTGTTTAACCTCAGTGTTTACAGTCAGTTTACCATCAGTGTTTACACTGTTTACCCTCAGTGTTCATAGTCACTATCTATCCTCAGTGTTTACAGTCACTGCTTACCCTCTGCGTAGTCACTGTTTACCCCTCAGTGTTTACAGTCACTGTTCACCCCTCAGTGTTTACAGTCACTGTTCACCCCTCAGTGTTTACAGTCACTATTTACTCTGTTTACACTGTCTACCCTGTGTGTACACAGTCACTATTTACCCTTAGTGTTTACAGTCACTGTTGACCTTCAGTGTTCACACTGTTTACCCTTAGTTTACAGTCACTGTTTACCCTCAGTGTTTACACTGTTTATCCTGTTTTTACACTGTTTACCCTTAGTGTGTAAAGTCACTGTTTACACAGTTTGTAGCTGTTTACCCTCAGTGTTTACACTGCTTATCCTCAGTTTTTACACTGTTTACCCTTAGTGTGTACAGTCACTATTTACCCTCAGTGTTTACAGTCACTATTTACCCTCAATGTTTACAGTCACAATGTTTCCCTCAGTGTTTACAGTAACAATGTTCTCTCAGTGTTTACAGTAACAATGTTCTATCAGTGTTTACAGTAACAATGTTCTCTCCGTGTTTACAGTAACAATGTTCTCTCCGTGTTTACAGTAACAACGTTCTCTCAGTGTTTACAGTAACAACGTTCTCTCAGTGTTTACAGTAACAACGTTCTCTCCGTGTTTACAGTAACAACGTTCTCTCAGTGTTTACAGTAACAATGTTCTCTCCGTGTTTACAGTAACAACGTTCTCTCAGTGTTTACAGTAACAATGTTCTCTCAGTGTTTACAGTAACAACGTTCTCTCAGTGTTTACAGTAACAACGTTCACTCAGTGTTTACAGTAACAATGTTCTCTCAGTGTTTACAGTAACAATGTTCTCTCAGTGTTTACAGTAACAATGTTCTCTCAGTGTTTACAGTAACAATGTTCTCTCAGTGTTTACAGTAACAATGTTCCCACAGTCTTAACAGTTATGTTTAATATCAAATGACAATGTTTAACTTAACATTTTCTACCAGGATTGTGAAAGACAGATATTATTATTATTATCATTCATGGTGGAATGCTACAGACGGATGGGTCACATACTGCCAGGTAAATGACAGTCAGATTTGATTTATGGGAAAAGGTTTAATTCCAGTTCCCTGGATGAAGAGCCCTCAAGGCAGAGATCTTGAAGATAACACTGGTAGATCACAGTTCTTGAAGGTAACACTGGTAGATCACTGTTCTTGAAGGTAACACTGGTAGATCACAGTTCTTGAAGGTAACACTGGTAGATCACAGTTCTTGAAGATAACACTGGTAGATCACAGTTCTTGAAGGTAACACTGGTAGATCACAGTTCTTGAAGGTAACACTGGTAGATCACAGTTCTTGAAGGTAACACTGGTAGATCACAGTTCTTGAAGGTAACACTGGTAGTAGATCACAGTTCTTGAAGATAACACTGGTAGATCACAGTTCTTGAAGATAACACTGGTAGATCACAGTTCTTGAAGGTAACACTGGTAGATCACAGTTCTTGAAGATAACACTGGTAGATCACAGTTCTTGAAGGTAACACTGGTAGATCACAGTTCGTGAAGGTAACACTGGTAGTAGATCACAGTTCTTGAAGATAACACTGGTAGATCACAGTTCTTGAAGGTAACACTGGTAGATCACAGTTCTTGAAGGTAAACACTGGTAGATCACAGTTCTTGAAGGTAACACTGGTAGATCACAGTTCTTGAAGGTAACACTGGTAGATCACAGTTCTTGAAGGTAACACTGGTAGATCACAGTTCTTGAAGATAACACTGGTAGATCACAGTTCTTGAAGGTAACACTGGTAGATCACTGTTCTTGAAGGTAACACTGGTAGATCACAGTTCTTGAAGGTAACACTGGTAGTAGATCACAGTTCTTGAAGGTAACACTGGTAGTAGATCACAGTTCTTGAAGATAACACTGGTAGATCACAGTTCTTGAAGGTAACACTGGTAGATCACTGTTCTTGAAGGTAACACTGGTAGATCACTGTTCTTGAAGATAACACTGGTAGATCACAGTTCTTGAAGGTAACACTGGTAGATCACTGTTCTTGAAGGTAACACTGGTAGATCACTGTTCTTGAAGGTAACACTGGTAGATCACTGTTCTTGAAGATAACACTGGTAGATCACAGTTTTTGAAGGTAACACTGGTAGATCACTGTTCTTGAAGGTAACACTGGTAGATCACAGTTCTTGAAGGTAACACTGGTAGTAGATCACAGTTCTTGAAGGTAACACTGGTAGATCACAGTTCTTGAAGGTAACACTGGTAGATCACAGTTCTTGAAGGTAACACTGGTAGATCACAGTTCTTGAAGGTAAACACTGGTAGATCACAGTTCTTGAAGGTAACACTGGTAGTAGATCACAGTTCTTGAAGATAACACTGGTAGATCACAGTTCTTGAAGGTAACACTGGTAGATCACAGTTCTTGAAGGTAACACTGGTAGATCACAGTTATTGAAGGTAACACTGGTAGATCACAGTTCTTGAAGGTAACACTGGTAGATCACAGTTCTTGAAGGTAACACTGGTAGTAGATCACAGTTCTTGAAGGTAACACTGGTAGATCACAGTTCTTGAAGATAACACTGGTAGATCACAGTTCTTGAAGGTAACACTGGTAGATCACAGTTCTTGAAGGTAACACTGGTAGATCACAGTTATTGAAGGTAACACTGGTAGATCACAGTTCTGAAGGTAACACTGGTAGATCACAGTTCTTGAAGGTAACACTGGTAGATCACAGTTATTGAAGGTAACACTGGTAGATCACAGTTCTTGAAGGTAACACTGGTAGATCACAGTTCTTGAAGGTAACACTGGTAGATCACAGTTCTTGAAGGTAACACTGGTAGATCACAGTTCTTGAAGATAACACTGGTAGATCACTGTTCTTGAAGGTAACACTGGTAGATCACAGTTCTTGAAGATAACACTGGTAGATCACTGTTCTTGAAGGTAACACTGGTAGATCACAGTTCTTGAAGATAACACTGGTAGATCACTGTTCTTGAAGGTAACACTGGTAGATCACAGTTCTTGAAGGTAACACTGGTAGATCACAGGTTCTTGAAGGTAACACTGGTAGACCAGTTCTTGAAGATAACACTGGTAGATCACTGTTCTTGAAGGTAACACTGGTAGATCACAGTTCTTGAAGGTAACACTGGTAGATCACAGTTCTTGAAGATAACACTGGTAGATCACAGTTCTTGAAGGTAACACTGGTAGATCACAGTTCTTGAAGGTAACACTGGTAGATCACAGTTCTTGAAGGTAACACTGGTAGATCACAGTTCTTGAAGGTAACACTGGTAGATCACAGTTCTTGAAGGTAACACTGGTAGTAGATCACAGTTCTTGAAGATAACACTGGTAGATCACAGTTCTTGAAGATAACACTGGTAGATCACAGTTCTTGAAGGTAACACTGGTGATCACAGTTCTTGAAGGTAACACTGGTAGACCCACAGTTTTTAAAGGTAACACTGTAGTAGATCACAGTTCTTGAAGGTAACACTGTAGTAGATCACAGTTCTTGAAGGTAACACTGGTAGTAGATCACAGTCTCTTTATTCTTGAAAAATCAATAACCATCAGGCTTTATTAAGCCTGAAAAACATTGATTTATCAAGAACACTAGGGACTTGATACTGGTGTATCAAGGCTATGAATGACTGGATATTGATGTATCAATGCTATGAATGATCTGATGTATCAGACTATGATAGACTTGGTGCTGATATATCAACTATATGATTGACTTAATACTGATGTGTCAAGACTATGATTGACTTGATATTGATGTATCAAGGTTATGATTGATATTGATGTATCAAGGCTATGATTGACTTGATATTGATGTATCAAGGCTATGACTTGATATTGATGTATCAAGGCTATGATTGACTTGATGTTGATGTATCAAGGCTATGACTTGATATTGATGTATCAAGGCTATGATTGACTTGGTATTGATATATCAAGGTTATGATTGACTTGATATTGAAGTATCAAGGCTATGATTGACTTGGTATTGATGTATCAAGGTTATGATTGACTTGATATTGATGTATGAAGGGTATAATATACTTGACGAATATTGCAAGACGGAATAATGGGTATACAGAGGCCTCTGAAAAGGGAGCTTGACTATACATGTATAAATCTGCATTCTACTGTGAGGTGTACATTACAGGAGAGGGAAGTAGAGGGTGTGAACAGCGGCGGTGAGTATACATACTCGACAGCACGAGGCTGGGGTCACAAGGAGCTGGCTGAACCAGTATGGGGACACCCACCCAGGATACACAAGAACCGCAGGATACCTGAAGTTAGGGAGGGCAATAACCACAGGCTCGACCATGGGGTAAGTCCCTCATGTAATTATCTCATTTATACACTCATGATTTCTTTCATTCTCAGTCTTTTCTCCTTCCCTTGTGCTGTGTTGTGGGTGTGTGTGTGTGTGTGTGGTGTGTGTGTGTGTGGTGTTTGCTGTGTGTGTGTGTGTGTGTGTGTGTGTCATTTGTGCATGTGTGTGTGTAGTGTGTGTTGTGTGTTGTGGTTGGTGTATTTGTGTGTGTGTGTGTTGTATGTGTGTGTGTGTTGTATGTGTGTGTGTATGTGTGTGTGTTGTGTGTGTGTGTGTGTGTGTGTGTGTGTGTGTGTGTGTGTAGTGTATGTGTGTGTGTGTGTGTGTGTGTGTATGTGTGTGTGTGTGTGTGTGTGTGTATGTGTGTGTGTGTGTGTGTGTGTGTGTGTGTATGTGTGTGTGTGTGTGTGTGTGTGTGTGTGTGTGGTGTGTGTGTGTGTGTGTGTGTGTGTGTAGTGTGTGTGTGTATGTGTGTGTGTGTGTGTGGTATGTGTGTGTGGTGTTGTGTATGGTGTGTGTGTGTATGTGTGGTGTGTGTGTGTGTATGTGTGTGGTGTATGTGTGTATGTGGTGGTGTGTGTGTGTATGTGTGTTGTGTGTGTGTGTTTTGTGTGTGTTGTATGTGTTGTATGTGTGTATGTGTGTGTGTGTGTGGTGTGTGTGTGTGTGTGTGTGTGTGTGTGTGTGTGGTGTGTGTGTGTGTTGTATGTGTGTGTGTATGGTGTGTGTGTGTGTGTGTGTGTGTGTGTGTGTGTGTGTGTGTGTGTGTGTGTGTGTGTGTGTGTGTGCGCGTGCGCTCGTGTTTTAGCTCAATTAACTTTCATAACAAAACTGGTCGTTAGTATTTCAGACATTTTCTTTAGCATATTTTAAAATAAGAATTTATCCTTGACCTCCCTACTGTATCCTGCCTTAAAAATGTCTCTCCTCTTATATCATAATGGCTGAGTGTCCTGCGTCTCGTGTATTTCTGAAACTGGCAGGAGCAGACACCAGGGTGGGAATACTAGTGCATGAGTAGGACCTGCCTACCATGAGTCGCCAGGCCTACTGAAGTCCAATTTTATTAGGACTCACGAAATCGTAATGACACGATTGCAAAAAAAAAAAAAAACTATACTACGGGCGGGGATTGAACACGAACTCAATCCCCGCCTATAGTATAGTTCACACTTTTGTTATCACCTGCCTAGCATGGCCCCATAAACCTACTCCAGTGTGTATATATTATAATTGTTGCTTTAAATACTGTGTAAGGGTCAGGGGTCAGGGGTGAGGCGCCACCATGACGGAGAGAAACACTCCGCTGCCGGCTACAGTAGAACGTAATTTTGGGTTATACGAAGTGAAAATGAGGATAATATAACAGTGAGGGGCAACACCTGGGCAATGAGAGATCACCAGCTCTGATCCAAGGAAAGGGATGCCAATTGTAATTCCATGAACATGTGCATGATAAGTACCCGGATAACGGTAACACACAATATAATGAATAAAAACGAGAATGGGCCTGGATTCGAAACGTGGTACTGATTGATATCAGGTCCAACGCTCTACCACTTGTCAACGAGGTTCGAATCACCATCCATTCTTCAGTTTATTCACTGATAATCGTCTACTGTTACTTATCTCGAATTCACACAAGATAATCTTTCTTTAGGTTGGCTACACAGTTGTAGTCAATAACAAATGTTAGACGTGAACGCTATAACAACCTTAGACTAACACTAGTCTTCTAATAAAAATTATTGACACCTTAAAATGTATATTTGTCTGAGAATGTAGAAACGAACAGAAATGAAAAGAATTCCTTTGTTCTTGTTTTTAACGAAAAAAATGGAATAAAGTGCGAGCAGAAATGTGAGGGAGAGGCAGATAGTGTGTCATCAACACCGGTGGTGATAGTGTGTCATCAACACCGGTGGTGATAGTGTGTCATCAACACCGGTGGTGATAGTGTGTCATCAACACCGGTGGTGATATTGTGTCATCAACACCGGTGGTGATAGTGTGTCATCAACACCGGTGGTGATAGTGTGTCATCAACACCGGTGGTGATAGTGTGTCATCAACACCGGTGGTGATAGTGCGTCATCAACACCGGTGGTGATAGCCATCTCTCTCTCATGTTTTGTTCCAGCTAAAACCCAATATCTATACATATGTCGTGCCGAACAGATAAAACTTGCGATTTGGGCTTAAACAGCAACGCTCTTATATATATATATATATATATATATATATATATATATATATATATATATATATATATATATATATATATATATATATATATATTAATAGGTAAATTTGGCCAATCAGCAAGAACTCATTTAAAATTAAGTCCTCTCTAAAAAATTCTCTCTTATACATTTAAAGATATATATTTTTTCATTTATGTTAATGTAAAAATTAATAATTTTGTACCAAAATAACCTTAGAAAATTTACGTGACTTTATTATAACAAGAGTAATTTAATTTAGTTTAATCCAGCTAAATATATTTTAGATAAGCTTACAATAATTTAATAATAAACAAACACAATGAAATATATTTTTTTCGCTAGGTTCAGAATTATTTTTGCGAAATTAATGCATACACAAATTTTCGCTTGTCTCATTCGGCAACAAGAGCGTTGCTATTTAAGCCAAAATAGCAAGTTTTACCTATTCGGCACGACATTATATGTATGTATGTATGTATGAAAGGTTGTGGGACGATGGTAATTCCAAGTGATACAAGAGAATGGGAGAACACAGTTTGTGTAGTACTGAATGTAAGGTGAAGGCGAGGAGGCATGAAACTGTTGTGTCAGGTGACAAGAGGGAATCACCATGGTGCAATATCATGTATGTGCAAGAGTAGCTGAGATATGTTTGTCAGCCTTCTGTTCAATGGTGGTGCACGGAGCAATTATGGATGGTACCTATCACTGCTGGTACCTATCACTGCTGGTACATATCACTGCTGGTACCTATCACTGCTGGTACCTATCACTGTTGAATTCCACTTTTTTCAAGTCCAGGAGATGGTCCTCTCGATGTACGTAAGACACAAGCGTTACTGGTCTACCTGGATGGTGTTGCGGAGGTCAACGCCCCCTCGGTCCAGTCCTTGACCAGACCTCCCGATGTACCTCACTATGTTCACCTGTGTACCTAGCTATGTTCACCTTTGTACCTGGCTCTATTCAATTTTCTACCTAGCTATGTTCACATTTGTATCTGGCTATGTTCACCTGTGATCCTAGCTATGTTCACCCATACACCTGGCTATGTTCACCCATTAATCTGGCTATGTTCACCCATGAGCCTGGTTATGTTCACCTGTGAACCTGGCTATGTTCAGAGAGCAAGAATATTGTTAGGCATTGCAAAAGACCTCCATAGTAAGCATAAACAAGCTAAGAGACAACTCAGTGAGTGTAGTGGCACCAAGACTCTTCAACAGCCTCCTGTCATACATGAAGGCGCAATATCAACAGTCCTCTGGCTGCTGCCTTCAGGGAAAACTTGTTGATTTCCTCAAGTCAATTTCTGATCAGCCTGGCTGTATTATACTGGACTGTGTATTGCTTGCACCAGCAGTCTGATCGATCAGACCACCAACCAGGAGGTCTGGTCTGGGCCCGGACAGCAAAGGTGATGACTCTTGGAATTGACAACGGGTAGATAACGACGCCGTTAACAGCTAACAACGGCACCGTTAACTGACAAAATCGCCGTTACCGACTGAGAACGACACTGAAAATAACCTAAAATAACGTCGATAACAAATGACAACAAGAGCGCTAAGAGGTGACAACGGCGACGTTAACAGGTGACAACGGCGACGTTAACAGGTGACAACGGCGACGTTAACAGGTGACAACGGCGACGTTAACAGAGCGGCTGTCTTCCTCAACTTCATCAACAATATTTAGGTAAAATAAAAATGATCGACTTTAAGATTTGTTCCACAACTTTGAAGATTTTTCTTGTTAAGCGAGTTATTGGTTGTATGTGGAGGTGCCAGGAGGTGCCAGGAGGTGCCAGGAGGAAGTGCCAGGGGATGCCAGGTGCCAGGAGGTGCCAGGAGGAAGTGCCAGGGGGTGCCAGGAGGTGCCAGGTGCCACGAGGTGCCAGGAGGAAGTGCCAGGAGGTGCCAGGTGCCACGAGGTGCCAGGAGGAAGTGCCAGGTGGTGCCATGAGGTGCCAGGAGGTGCCAGGTGGTGCCAGGTGCCAGGAGCCAGGAGGAAGTGCCAGGGGGTGCCAGGTGCCACGAGGTGCCAGAAGGTGCCAAGAGGAGGTGCCAGGTGCCAGGGGGTGCCAGGTGCCATAAGGTGCCAGGAGGTGCCAGGAGGAGCCAGGAGGTGCCAGGAGGTGCCAGGTGGAAGTGCCAGGTGCCAGGAGGAAGCGCCAGGAGGAGGTGCCAGGAGGTGCCAGGAGCCAGGAGGTACCAGGAGGTGCCAGGTGCCAGGAGGAAGTGCCAGGAGGTGCAAGGAGGTGCCAGGGGGTGCCAGGAGCCAGTGGTGCCAGAAGGTGCCAGGAGCCAGGAGGTGCCAGGTGCCAGGAGGTGCCAGGGGGTGCCAGGAGCCAGGTACCAGGTGCCAGGAGGTGCCAAGAGGTGCCAGGTGGTGCCAAGAGGTGCCAGGAAAAGGTGCCAGGAGGTGCCAGGACGTGCCAGGAGCCAGGAGGTGCTAGGAGCCAGGTGGTGCCAGGAGCCAGGTGCCAGGAGGTGCCAGGTGCCAGGAGGTGCCAGGTGCCAGGAGGTGCCAGGAGTTGCCAGAAGGTGCCAGGAGGTGCCAAGAGGTGCCAGAAGGTGCCAGGTTCCAGAAGGTGCCAGGTGCCAGAAGGTGCCACGAGGTGCAGGGAGGAAAAGGTGCCAGAAGGTGCCAGGGGGAGGTGCCAGAAGGTGCCAGGAGTTGCCAGAAGGTGCCAGAAGGTGCCAGGTGCCAGAAGGTGCCAGGAGGAGAAGGTGCCAGGAGGTGCCAGGAGAAGATGCCAGGAGGTGC